ACTTGCCTTCAGTCCACTGGCTCAACTTGAAGCCCTTAGAAACCTCCCATGAAAACTATTCCTGCTACATCCTAAAATACACTAAGGGTGGGAATGCACCAAATTGTCAGTGCCTTTACAGGTCTGTGCTAGCAGCAAGAGAGGAGGAATAAACCCACCCTGAGCTATTTTGATACTACTCCTTTCAGTGGTTGGGTGGGACCCTTTTGAGAAAACAAGAGGAAATAAACATCTATTTGGCATATTACATGCTATTTCAGAATCTGGTAACTAGTGTGTAATTATATACCATCTCAGAATTTGGCTCTCTTTCTTCAAGGGTGCTCATGCCGCATAGCTTTTTTTTCTTTCGGTCAAATGTGTTTATGTAACTGGAGGCAGAATTTAGCCATTAATGTCCACTGGAAAGCTGGAGGGAAAGACTACGCTTGGCATTTCAGAACAATTTTCTATAATCTATTAAATGTGTTCGACTTGGTTTCATTTCATGTCACTTATTCATCTTGATTCTTTCAAGTACAGATCAAACAACTAAACATGGCGATATAAATTTGTTCAAGGACATGATAGGTGACTTTATGCCGGGTGGCAAGGGTTTGGGGTTGTCCACTCAGGGAGCTGGAATGGGGATATAGTCATGTGTCACTTAATGACATGGACACGTTGTAAGAAGTACATCTTTAGGCAATTCTGTCATCATGCAAACACCACAGAGTGCACTTACACAAACCTAGATGGTACAGCCTACGACACACCTAGGCTGTATGGTTTAGCCTGTGGCTCCTAGACTACAAACCTGTACAGCGTGCTACTGTGCTGAATACTGTAGGCAACAGAAGTATGTTTGTATCTAAACATATCTAAATATAGAAAAGGTACAGCAAAAATATGGCATAAAAGATAAAAACGATACACCTATATAGGACACTTACCACAAATGGAGCACACGGGACTGCGGTTGCTCTGGCTGAGTCAGCGAGTGAGCGGCGAGTACGCGGGAAGACCTAGGACATTACTGTGGTCTTTGTAAACACTATACGTTTACCCTACACTAAATGTACTAAAAAGTGAAGTAACTGTGCTACAAATTTGTGATGGCTGTGATCACTAGGCAATAGGAATTTTTCAGCTCTGTTATAGTCTTATGTGACCACTGTCATATAGGCAGTCATCATGGACCAACACGTAGTTACGTGGCACAGGACTGTCATGCAGCTTTCCTTCCCATAGGAGTTGGGGGAGGATGTTCTTCCCAGCTGACCTTTGAGGTGTGTGTTGTTCCCCTGTTCACTGCCGAAATGGGAAGATAACCTGGCTTGAAGGGAATATCATGTCAAACTGTTTTTATGCCTTTGACCGCTTAACCTCTTAAAACCAATGAACTTTAATAATGTCACCAATGACAATGAAAATGCCAAACTCTGGGGTTATGCATTTTAGATCATCAGAACAACAACAGAAAAGAGCCAACTGAAGGCGTTGGCAACTCCCAGTTGTCAAAATGCTTGCAGAGTTAGCATAACAGACGCCATTATGAATGAGATGTCAAGTCAGGTTGTAGTTATGGTGGTTTTTATACCAGAACTAGAAGGCTGGGAAGTGTTCCTGTGGCACCAGGCGCCCAGATGGTGACTAGAGGGGGCAGACTGACAATAAAAGAAACAAAAGAAACTTCGAGCACAACTGTGGACTCAGAAAGCTGTAATGCTGAAGAAAAAGCAGTTTACAGTGTGACCCTGAGTGGCTGGGATCAGACGCTTCTCAGTGGGCTGGCTGGGGGGACTGACGGGCTTAAACAAACCTCTACTTACAGGGCAGAAAAAACAAGGAGGAACCTCAGGCCTAGACAGAAAGATTCTTCTTCTCTGGCCAAGATCAGAGTCATATGCCTTGGCAAAGGCTGACTTTAGAAATAGAAGTTAACCAGGAAATGGGATTGAAAAGAGCAATTAAAAGCCTGATGATGATGAAGATGATGATGGGGGAGGGGTTTACTGAGCACTCACCAGGGGCCAGTCTCTCTGCTAACGTTGTCAACAGCCCCTCGTGCTCCCCTCCTGACAAACTCGCAGCGTGGGGACAGGCAAGCCAAGAATCAATGGAGTTAGTCAGCTTGCCCAAGGTCACGATGCTAGAAAGTAGCAGAGCTGGGTTTCGTGTTTACCAGTATTGGGTTACAGTGAGTCATAAAACCCACGTCATCCCCACGGGCACGAATCCACATTCTGTGCCTCCACCCCGCAGGGGTAGCTTCTGCACAGAAGGCGGCCTGACTGCATGTGCTGGAGTCAGGGGGATGCCAGAGGAGCCGTGCAGGAGGAAGAAATAAGAAGTTACCCGAGGCCTTCAATTTCAAGACTGCCCTCAGCCAGTTTTGCCACATGATCAGAAACTTACTTAGAGCCATCTAAATCCTGACACGTGGAATCCAAAGGGGAATCTTTTAAAATTCCAGGGGAGCCACTGGCAGTTGTGAATGACAAACCCATTCCTTCTCCCTGACCCATGGATCTTTCCCTCCTCTGCCCAGTCACTTCAGGACCCCCAGGGTAGAAACATGACCATCATCAACATGACAAAAAATCTTTTTTTTTTTCACATTTACAAATACAAAAAAGCTAGTCCTTGGGGGATGTGTGGCTGGGTTCTTGCTGTTTCTAGGACTGGAAGTCTGGACTTGGCTCTCTCCCTGTGTTTCTCCTCAGCAAAGCTATAACATCTTTGAGAGGATTCGTGTTTAATTTCAGAGAAAGATTGCTTGGCTGTATTAAGATAAAAATTAGAAGTACCTACCTTGCCACTGGTTTGCTCTCTTGCTCTTTTGTGAGAGAAGGGACAAGGAACCAGAGGGAAAACATTTTTTTCAACATTGCAAACCAATCCCTTCCTCCTCCCCTTTTGGTAAAGAAATATTTAAGTCGTGTGCATTCTTGGAGAGAATTTTCAAAAAATACTCAGCCCACAAGAATTCTGTTCAGCCCACAAAATCTGCCTTGGTTCTGCGTGCTTTTGCTAACGCTGCCTCCTTCTCCTGCAGCCCATCAACATGTTCTTCTTTCGCTTTTAGTACCAGCAGGTTAGCAATGTCGACATCTGCCACTTTAGGAGTCAATGCTCTATGCCGGGGCTCTTCCCAAACAGGAGCTCCGATCTGAAGTCGTTGTAAAAGGAATAGAAAAAGAGGCACTTAGTTGAACTTCATTAATCTCTCCAGCCGATTCCCCTTAGGTTTATCTTGGTTTATTTATTATATGGTGGATGTTTGTTTAAGTTGCCATCTAGCATTCTTTGGGTTTTGTTGTTTAAATTATTAAAGCTAATGCTACCCAGTATTTATTACGATGACTTACTATCAATGTGGCCTAGATTTTGAAAATAAAATTAACTGTGGGACTGGGAAAAAAACAAACCAATCATTTTGAAGTGTCCTTCCTTTCCAAGGAAGGCAGGTGAAACTGCTTCTTTCTCCTGGGAGTCCAGGACTCCGCTTGCTGCAGGTGACCATCTGGCTGCTGTGGACGAGCTCGGAGGCCAGGGTGTCACCTGCAATTCAGTTGTGAAGCACAGTGTGACTAACTGTGCCCAATTCCAAGTGGTAAATATTTTGTTAATATCAGGTCATTTCTATTCTTAAACTTGTAGCATAATGTTAGGCTTTCCCCATGGCGTGAAATTCTGATATGTCCTGTTACATCGTGGAAGGAGGTGCTTTTTCTAATGGGGAAAAATGCCGAAGGAATCTTTCCTTTCTTAAGTCAGCCAGGAAAGAACAGATGTCAGGCCTAGTTGGAAACAACATCATTGGTCTTTACAGCAAATTTCTTTATTATAATAGTGGATAATTTGGCCCTGGCAGGGCAAAGGTGAATTGGCTTACTGGATCTACAAGTATAGAAACTGTTCTAAGAGGTTTTACTATTTTGGAATATTTTAAAAATCAATTGAGGGAGTGGAGATGGTGGTGGGGAGAAGTGGTGGACTAACGGGTGCAAAACTACCCCAAGTGAATCATAGTGCAGTATATGCATGTATTGAAACAACACACTGTACCCCACAAATATGTACAAGTAAATGTTAAAACAAAATTAAAAAGTAAAAAAAAAATCAGTTGAAATCCCCTTAGCACACTGATATCCTTGGGTTTGTTTAGTCCTAGCAATGGAGGAGAAATAGTACTAGATTTTCTTCTAATTTAGTTAAGAAAAATGGGGAAATTATTTTTGTTGGTTATTTTATCTTGATTATTTTGCATTTAGGGATTGATATTTGCCTCCAAAGCAAAAGTGCAATTCAACTAACATTAAAAGTTAGATGCTGGGGGATTCAAAAGATAAAAGGTTGTCTAGGGTTCTCACTGATCAGCAGGAGAAATGGGTTCAGAAACAAAAAAACTAGCTACAATAGGAAAAAATGTATAAGTCAAGCTGTGTATAAAGGAGCAATTGATTCAGCCTGGGGAAGAGCAGTGAGTCAGGGAACACTAAAGAGAAGCTGGGCCGTGTGAGCTGCTTCTTAGTAGATCAGCAGGATTTGCCAAGAGAACATTGTATGGAGGATACTCCAAGTAGAGGGAACAGAATGTGCTACAGCTCTGACACATGACAATTCTCGTCCTGCAATTAGGGTGTGATCCAAGGGTATAGAATAGACTGGAGGTGGTAAGCGGGAGGAGCTGGGAGAATGAGACTGGAGAGAGGAGTGAATAGGGTGTATCAGGTACTACTGTCCTTGAGAAGGCAACTGTCAGCTAAATTCCTGACGAAATGCCTCTTAGTATGTTCATGGTTTTAATTTATTAAATCAGTGACTAGTATTTCTGACCTGGCATTTTGAGCAAAGAGAAGAAAGAGTGATACCTGGTCTTTAAACTTGGCGACAGGCATTTGATAAACATGTGGGGTTGTATGTCGTTTATTTCACGCCCCTCACAATTGGAATTAAGCGTAAGGTCAGCAAAGCTAGTCATAGACCTAAAACAAACATTTTTTTCTGTTCTCCAGGCTTGTTTGAGACGACAGGAATACCGAAGAGACCAAAATGAGAAGAAACGAGATCCATTTGGGGGGCAAGAGACAAACTTTGATAGAGCCCGGTTTTCAAGCGGGTCATCTTCCAAACAGGTATGGCGAATTCTGGGAGGTGTTCTGCTGCTGCCGTGTGTGTGTGTGTGTGTGTGTGTGTGTGTGTGTGTTTTAGGAAAAAGCCAACCAATTCAAAAAAGGAGATGTTGCAGAATCCTAAAGGTCGGGGCAGGAGCTCCCATCCTGGACACCGCCCCTGCCACTCCCTGGCTGTCTGGCTTTCCCACTTCACCTTGTTTCTTCTTTCCTGTAGATAGAGCGCATGGCGTAGATGGTCTACTAGACACCAGATCAGAAATGCTGTAACTCTTTGATTTTAAGAGTTGGAGCCACTGGGCCTTCTCAAGCACAGCATCATCTGTGTGGCTTATGGCCTAACCCATTGCATTGCTGAGTCTAGTTTTCATTTTAAATGAAGGAGGAGAGTACCATGCAGTAATAACTACATCATGTAATAACTGGCAATTGTTCAAATATTTCTGTGTAGGATCACAACAAAAAATACTAAGAGCAATGTAATATTATAGCAATAAAATGATAGTAATGATAGCAGTAGTGGTAGTGACCATTATTTGAGTACTGCAACATTCCAGGCCTGTGCAAAATACCTTATACATATCAGTTTATTTAATTCGCGTAAATGAATGTATCTATATCTATCTATCTATTGCCTATCTAACTATGTATTATATATTTGTCCCCATTTTATGAAAGGGAAAATTGGGCCTTAGAGAAATTAAGAAACTCTACCTAAGATTTCATAGCCGGTATGTGGTGGAGTAGAGATTCCATTCCAGGCAGTCTGACCCCAGAGAAGGTGCTCTGAACCACCGAGCTATATGATCATATTTCATGTTTAAGGTCTTATCTGTCTAAGAATTTTACTTACCTTATGTTAGAGCTAAATACCACAAGCTGCACTCAATGCTGGTTGTTAGCATGGTGAATTGATTTAAAATGAGTAATATGCCTTTTATGAATTCTTATTTAATATTTTATGTCTGAAATATATTCTAGAGGAAGGACTCTCTCTCCTATCAGTGGTGTGGATCCCTGAGATAGATCCTGGATACCTGATATCAATCAAGTTCTTGCTGAGATTTCTTTAATCTAGGATGTTCATACTGCAGTTATTTAATGTTCAAAGAACACCTTAAAAACATCAATGATTGATGTTTATGGATGTAGCTGTATCCCTGGGAGAGATATATACTCCCTGTTAAAGAATATAAAATCACACGATAAGATATTCCACCTAGAGTCTGCAAGTGAAAGAGACTCTCTCACAATATTGGCAGCACGAAGGAGAACATGTTGCCTGGATCTTTTCCTGTTAGTCAAGGACTAAATATAATGCCTGCTGCTGATTAAACTTAGGGAGTGAGATTAATCCAAAAATTAAATCTAGTTTGGCTAGAACACCACATTTTTGGAATTAAGATAAATTCTCACATTTTTACACTTAGAAACAAAAATCAAGGATAGATGAAAAAAATGTAATTAAAGTCCAATAGTAGCATGCAGCCATCTTCCTGGATTGGAATTACTAGACAAGTGGGCAGCTGAGTTCTTCTGTTTTTATGTGGAGACTCATGTGCCTAGTCACAGCCATTCTGTGGCGACACTCATGCATTTGGGATATTCAGGACGTGAAGTTTTATGTTCCTCTCCACAATCGTGGGGACAAGCTGGTGTCAGACTCCTATAGTTTTCTTCTTCCTGCTATAAAAGTTATTCGTTCTTTCTTTCTTTATTTATTTATTTGGTCTTTTTCGTTACCCATAAGGGAATCGCAACCCTTGGCTTGGTGTCGCCCGCACCGCGCTCAGCCAGTGAGCGCACCGGCCATTCCTATATAGGATCCAAACCCGCGGCGGGAGCGTCGCTGCGCTCCCAGCACCGCACTCTCCCGAGTGTGCCACGGGGTCGGCCCAAGTTATTCGTTCTTTAAATCATCATTTCAAAACACTCAGACCATTTCCCAAAAAACATGGTTGTACATATAAAAGTAATTATGTGAAATAGCTTCTATAATCACAGATTTAAGAAATAACTTTATTAATTTTATTAACATGTAATTGTTTATAGTTCATAAGATATCATAGTCTGGGGCAGAGGCTCTATTGAAACATAACTAGATATCAACAGATTATATGGATCTCATTTTCCAACTCAATTTTATTATTTACTTATACCCAACACAAAATAAAGACAAAAATATGCAGTCAAAGGCATAAAACTGGCAATTTCTACCCTGAAGAACAAACACAGGATTTTTCATGTTTGCACTATCTCACTGCTGTGCTTTGAATGTCCCCCCAAGTTCATGTTAAAACTTAACCCCCAGGATGAAGGTGGAAGGTGGGACCTTTAAGAGGTGACTGGATTACAAGGTCTGTGCCCTCATGAATGGATTGATTCATTCATGGAGTAATGGGTTGATGGCTTAAAGGGATGTCATGGGTGTGATTCTGAGGGCTTTCTAAGGACAGCAGGTGAGAAGGTTAGCTGTCTTGCGCAGGCTGTTCTGGACATGTGACTCCCTGTGTTGCTGTAGAGTCAACATCAAGAAGACCCTCACCAGGTGTGGTCCCTAGACCTTGGACTTCCCAGCCTCCAAGTTGCAAGAAATAAATCTTATTTATTTATAAATGACCCATCTTCAGGTATTCTCTTATAAGCAACAAAAACGGACTAATAGAGTCACTGTACCTCTGCGTGTCAGAGAACATGAAACATTGCTTCCATGATGTCACTTTTTTCCAGATAATGATACATATCCCAAGGGTTTGGCCTTTGATTATACAAATGCCTTCAAGGCCCCACCTTCTCTATCAAGAGGAGTGACAAAATTAGAATTTTCCACAGTGAATTCACCTCTGCATTACAGATACCTTTGGGAGAATACTGGATGATTTGCCTCTGGACACAAAAGCAGAGGAAGTGTTTTGGATGCAGATCCAGCCTCTCGGTCTATCCATGAAAAGAAAAATCTTTTCACAAGACCAGCGGAAGGGAAGGAAGAGAGGGACAGAGAAACAGAGCATAATAGGGCTTTATTACCAAGCGAAGACACATGCCAAGGAAGCGCACAGGGGTCTCCACCAGAGACACACACCCCCTCACCTCTCTCCATCCTGCGTCCCAAAAGCCCCTTGGCAATCCTCTGCCCCTTTTGTTCCTCCTTGTATGCAGGTGCCACGGTGTAGCATGCTGATTGGTTGGGTGGTTAAGCTTTTGCCAGTGCATTATGAGTCCATTAACTGCCAGGTACAGAGGCAGACAGTGCCCATCAGTCTGAATATTTATGAGCAGCCTCCCTGGGGCGTGTTCCTATTTTAGTCCTGCCTCAGAAGGGCAGGATGAGAAGAAATGTCACCTTCTACAGCCATCTGACCTGTGTGCTTGTAATGTCCATCCTCCCTGGCTTGATCCTCCGACTTTTGCTTGGTATGAATGAAGCCAGAGATCCCTTATGAGACTCAAACCAGATTCAGGAAATCTCAGCCTCCAGGATCATGGGTTGGTTTGGAGAATCCCCTCCCAGGTTTGGACCTCTACCCAAATTTCTATTGAAATCTGGTTATTCTTAATCCTTCAGAGTCTGGGGCTGCCCTGCTGTATCTCAAATCCTGAGGGGATGCAGAGCTCATTAAACCTCTTTCCACAGGGTCCCCAATGCCAGGGAGGTCCTGGAGCTAGTCTCCCAGAGGAGGCTGTCAGTGAGAGAGCAGGCATCTCCCAAAGGAGAACCCAGGCCAGATGGATCCAATTTCCAGAGCTCAATGTGTTGAATATCACATGAGGTACTTGAGTTGCAAAAGATCTTCAGTCAATCAGAAGGAGTTAGGAGAAAGACACAGCTCCGTGAGGTGGTGTAAACCCAGTCAGAGCCCTCCTCCCTAGGTGGAAGTTCCCCAAGTAATTTCCTGCTAGAGGTCGCTGTGGCTGAAAACTCTGAGTGACGTTTTGCCTCCGATTTGGGAAGTCAGGTTCATTCTCTGATTGAGTGGCTAGTATGAAAGTGAATTGCTTAATCCACGGAAACTTTTCCAATGCCCAGTCACTATGGGAAGCATGCTGCTACCAAATTTTGACACTTGTATTGCAATCTTCATCACTTTGTTCATTTCTTAATTTAGACTCAAATTGTCACAATTCTGACGAGCCTGGGACAAGGAGGCATTTGCCATCAGGTAATGGCTCCAGTGTCAAGCTGTCATTTCCAGACACCTGCCTAGGAGTGGGCAGATCCCCCAAAACACAGTTCACCTGGTGGCTGCTCCATCAAGGCACGCGACCTCCGGCTACAACCAGTGGCTCTCACTGCTGGTTACGCAGAGTTTGTATTTAATCTAAATTCAAGATGAAGCAAAACCTATCAAGCCTGTGCTGAGAT